GCATTGTGCTATAAGTTCACATGGTGTAATAAGATTGTGTGTTTGTTGTCATTGTGAGTTGTGATGGGGGAGTGGACAAAGGGAGGCTCAGCCAATCACATTGTACATATGTTGTACTTTGACAATAAAGATTTGATTTGATTTGACTTATCATTTATTTTCCTTGTTTGTTTGTTTTTGTTTTTCCCTAGCATAAACGTCTGGCTCACTGTATAATGAGCCATAATAATAAAACTTTCCTGTCTTAACACTCTCTCTCTCTCTCTCTCTCTCTCTCTCTCTCTCTCTCTCTCTCTCTCTCTCTCTCTCTCTCTCTCTCTCTGTGTGTGTGTGTGTGTGTGTGTGTGTGTGTGATTTCTTTAATCAGCTGTGAAAATCTTGTTTTTAACATATGTGCAAAAAAAATTATAGGGGAATGCCCTGAAGGGCTCTTTTATCTGAAGAAGTATGTAAATCAGGGCACAATTTCCCCTTTAAAGCAGCCAGGTGGTTTCCTGCATCACAAAGTTTGAGCACTTCCCTGAATCCTTTCAGGTTGATTCCACTCCATTCATTAGACTGGGAGCCAAAATGATTCTGTGGCCAAAGTTGGTCTTCTTACTGGCATTTCTTGGAGGTAATGCTTCCGTCTCTATAGCATTTCCCTTCATTTGCTGTTTTCCTATACATGAGATTTCACTGAAACCCATTTCTTTCTAGGTGTCCAGTCAGAGGCCCAGTTGGTGGAGTCTGGAGGGGATGTGAGAAAACCTGGAGAGTCCCTCAGTCTCTCCTGCCAAGCCTCTGGATTCACCTTCAGCAGTTCCTGGATGAGCTGGGTGAGACAGGCACCAGGGAAAGGACTGGAATGGGTTTCCCATATAAATCCAAGTTCATCTGCTATTTACTACTCAGACAAAGTAAAAGGGTGCTTCACCATCTCCAGGGACGATGCCAAAAGCCAGCTGTATCTGCAAATGAACAGCCTCAAAGCTGAAGACACGGCTGTCTATTACTGTGCAAGAGACACAGTGAGAGGAAGTGAATCTAAAGCTAAACAAAAACCTTCCTGTCTTCAGAGCAGCTCAGCCACTTGATTCATCCAAGATCCTGGAATAGCCAATGAGGATTCATCACCATATACTGAGAATATGACTCTGTGGCCAAAATTGGTCTTCTTACTAGCAGTCCTTCAAGGTAATGCTTCCCTCTCTAGAATTTCCTTTAATCTGATGTTCTTATATACGGAGATGTCACTGAAATCCATTTCTTTCTAGGTGTCCAGTCACAGGCCCACTTGGTGGAGTGTGGAGGGGACATGGGAAGGCCTGGAGGGTCCCTCCGTCTCTCCTGCCAAGCCTCTGGATTCACCTTCAGCAGCTCCTACATGCACTGGGTGAGACAGGCTGTAGGGAAAGGACTGGAATGGGTTTCACAGATATATCCAGGTTCATCTAGCATTTACTACTCAGACAAAGTTAAAGGATGTTTCACCACCTCGAGGGATGATGCCAAAAGCCAGCTGTACTTGCAAATGAACAATCTTAAAGCTGAAGACACAGCAGGTTATTACTGTACAACTCTACACACTGAGAGGAAGTGAATTTGAAGCATAACAAAAACCTTTTTTTTTCTTCAGAGTAGCTCTGCAATTTGAGTCAGCCCTTACTCAGTGAGGATTAATCCCTGTGTAGTGAGAATTTTAGGATTCTTTTGTTCTAGATATCCAGTAAGACAGCATGCTGGACAACAATGAAAAATGTGGAAGATGGCTTCAAAATTGCAATTTTACCTTCCCTGTTTGCAAGGTGGTTGAGAAAAAAAACCTGGAATGGAATACTGGTAGTCCTTAAATTATGACCACAATTGAACCCAAAACTCCTGTTGTTAAGTGAGACATTTGTTGTGTGAGTTATGCCCCATTTTATAACTTTTCTTGCCACAATTATTAAGTAAATTATTGCAGGTTCTTAAGTGAATCTGGGTTCCCTGTTGACTTTGCTTGCCACAAGGACGTAAAAACTAATCACAATATCCCAAGACACTGCAAAGGTCATAAATAGGAGTCAGTTGCCAAGAGTCTGAATTTTGATCATGTGACCATGGGGATGCTGCAATGGTCGTCAGTGTGAAAAATGGTCATAAATCACTTTTTTCAGTGATGTTGTTACTTTGAACAGTTACTAAATGAACTGTTGTACATCAAGGTCTATCTATATTCTCCTTTAGTACCATACAGAAGTCTGAAAATAAAACTTCAGGATAATCTTTCTAAATATCCAAACTGCCATTCACATAATGAGGAAAAATCTGGACCTAAAGAATCTCCTCAGAGAAATAGGAAGATATGTCCTCTCCTCCTTTGGACACTGGAGGGCAGTATTGTCACACAAAATCCCATGGTCTATGGGTGAGGGAGGGGTAGGGAATAAATCAGTTCTAAATAGATATTGTCTAATTTTGGAGGACTGATAATTGGTTGTTACTTCTGTAATTGTTCCTTGAAAATCTGTGAGGAAAAATCCACATTTCAGGAGGCAACCATGCTCCCTGTGAAGCAGAGAATTTTTATAAAAGGGTGTATCTCGTTAATTTTTGTCATCAGAAAAAACTGTCCAGGTAGCTCAAATCTTTGATGGAAATGAAAAAAATATAGAGGGACGTTTGATCAGTTCCGGTAGACATTCCCCACCATCCAGTCAGAGCTGAAGAAGCTTCTTGGATGAGAAGCAAAACATCTTCAAAGAAAAACAAAGAAAGTCTAGTTGCCTCTTGAAAAAGCACCTTTGGGACAACCTTGAACTGGATGACTGAGAGTCTCCATAGATGTTTGGTGGACATGCAAAAAAAAAATGGATATAGATATGTACAATAATCCAGAAGATTTTGAAGGTTAAATTACAATTGAAAGCAGAAAGTTTTCATTTGGGACTAATAGAGAGGCAAGTAGAAAAAAAAGTGATGAAGCTTTCTTTTGTGGGAAGTCAGCCCCCAGAGAAGGAAATATTAAAAGGGCAGGAAATATATTTCCTCAAAGGATC